TTTCAGAATCTTGATAGCTTTAATATTAATGAATATGTAATATTCATTTGTCAAATTAAATTGAACAAAAATACATTTTAGTTATTTTTACATTTTAAAAATAATAGAAAAGTCCCTCATTACCCTACTCCCCCAAATAGCTCTGTTATTTTTACATGTTCACTTTAAGTTTTTTGTGGTTGCACTGATGTCCAGACTATTTTGAATGAGGCTTTAAAAAACTCAGTGTCACAAAATTTTCTCATGTTTTTATAGAGGCTGTACTTTTGTTGGTTGTATTTTCCATCAGTTAGGCTAATGTCTTAATTACCTGATTTTGTTGGTTGATTTGCTTAGTGGGAGCACGAGTTAAGGTTATGGATGTTTTGTCCTCTGGCCTTGGAATTCTTACAGCTTTTCAGGGGTTAAATAATGATCTCATTGAATTTGGACTTGGAGAATAGACTTCTTTCGTATGGATTAGACAAAATCGTTTATACATGTTTTGATTGCTAAAGGCAAGGAAAGTGAGAGGGGAAGGCAAGACATACTTTTGTCTGAATTACTCTAATTCTGTCTGATTTTTTTTTTTTATGTAGAAATACTTGTTAAATATCTTCCATCAACTGATAAACAAGTGAACAAAAAGATTTCCATTTTAAAGGATCATGGCTTTATAGAGTAAGTGTTTCACTTTGCCTGTTGAAATTATTCCTTTAGGAGATTTTCATGAAAAAGTTGATGGTTAGAGTTTCCATAGATGTAAGGTACCTCCTGACTCTGTATCAGATGACAGGTAGTATTTATTGAGCACTTATTATGTGCAGTAAAACTGTACTTGATGTTGGGGGGTCGGGACACAAGGAGTGTGGGGGAGATTCCACGCCAAATGGGATGAATGGGGTTTGAGGCTCTCCCTTTCAAATGTTCTTTTCTAGCTAAATTAAGTTTTAAATAATCCCTTAATTGTGTGAGTGCAAGCTGGCTGTGGCGGCTGCCATTTGTTTGATCACCAGTGTAATCCAGATTTTTCATAAATCATCTCACCATGAACTATGGTGTGTGCCGTTTTGCTGTGGCCACCTCATCCAAGTTCAGCTTTTTACAAAAATTGATCAGAAAATAGCTTTTCACTATTTTTTTCTTTTAAAACATGGAGAGAATTTCATATAACTTAGGCTTTATTTTTAAGTATTTGCAGACTTATTTTTCTCTCGTCTTTTTCACCAAATTACAAGTTACATAATGTTTAGCGGCTCCTTTAAACAAATGCTTGGTTCTTCAGCAGTTTGCCTGGGGTCATGAAATACTGACTTGATGGATTTGTTGTTGTTTGTTTTCCCACTTTAGAAATTTGACATTTGGATGGGATGGACCATCTTGGAGGTTACTTACAGCTCTTAAATTGTTATGTCTGGAAGCCGGAAAATTGTAAGTTCCACATGTACTGGTCTTAACCTGTAGTTATAATCTGGATATAACTTTGGGGGTTTTTTTTGGCTTGCCTTTGAATGCCCAACCTGACGGGAAAAAGGAATGTCATTGTTTGCTGGAGTTGCTTATTTGTTATGTAATTTGCGCACTTAGTGAGTATTTATGTCTAAGTTTTAACCATTTCTGAAATTCTGCTTTTAGAATCATAATCAGAGTACACGGTTCTGAGAATTTTTTAGTTTCTACTCAGATATTTTCCCTCTGGTGACCTGATGCTTGTCGTGCAGGGAAAATAGTTTTAAAAGTGTGAGCATTGACACTGTTCAGAGGAGAGTCTCTGAGGAGTTAGCTTTTCCCTGGAGCAGGCAAAGCTTCTAACCACAGCCCCTCCTGGTCATGCCGTGGGGCAGATTCAGAAGCCCTGCTGAAGGAGACCCTGGATTTTTCCATGGGGGAGGCAGGTAGAGGAGCCCCTGGTGTAGACAGGTATCCTGGTCAGGCTCTTTAATATTCCCGTGAGGCTGTCAGTCCCGTTCCCAGTGGCTGCTTGTCAGCATGCACAGCTGTGTTCTGCCCAGCGCAGGGTTTCCTTTGGCCTGGTCCTTGTCAGGGAGGACAGCCTCCATGTTGGAGGTGCCCAGTGTCTAGGGAGGACTTCCTGAAGATGGTGAAGCCCATCCTCAAGCGGTTGGGACGATTAAATGAGATAATACCTAGAAATATCCCTTAGCACAGCACCTGGGAGTAGTTGGTGCTTATTCAGTGATGCCTGTTATTGTTGTTTATGATATTGCTTATTTCCTTTTCTGTAGGAACTAAGGGAGTAAAATTTCTTCATGGTCTCAACACCAGAAATAGTTTTTATTCTCAGCAGACGGTGTGTTTTTATCTTACAGACAGTGTGAATTCTGTGACTGATGTGTTTCCTTCTTTCCATTGTTCACTAGAAAACTCAGAGGCACCTTTGTGGTCCGTCCAAATGCACAGGATTTTAAGGCATGCGACTTCTCACTGACTTGTTCTAGGCTGTGTCTTATCTTTCCTCCTCTCATCGTTCCTTTGTTTTGTTTTCCCCATTCATTTGACTTCTGACTTCCGTTTTATTTTATCTTGTGTGTACCATGCCAGTGCCTTTAAATCCTTCTTGGAACAAGGTGTGAGTTCTTTTCAGGCACTTCAGCCTAAAATTAAATAAAATGACTGGATGTTTCCCAGCGGTCATCCTTAGGCCTCTTTTCTTCCCGGTGAGTTACTTCTAACCGGGTGGTGGGGCAGAGAGAGCATGAGGCCAGGAGTCTGTCGGACATGTGTTTGCGTGCTATTTCTGCCTCTCAGTAGCTTTGTCACCTAGGGTGATTTCCCCCACTTTCCTGATTCTCATTTTCTTTGAGTCTGATGTGGGGATGATAATGCTTTCTTTGCTAGGCAATTGTGCGGATTAAATGAGGTGATAGTTGTCCGTGAAACACTGTGTCTCACACCTAGTCATTTCCTTCTTCTTTCCTGAGAACTCATCTGTTCCTGAGGCTTCAGCATCGTCTCTTAAGCTGAAGACGTCTAAGACTGTTGCCGTTGTGTCTTGTCATCTGTTCTGGATTTCTAACTGGCTTCTGTACACTTCCTCTGGGATGTCACGGCAGCCATCTAACCTTCCCCATCTAAGCCACTTCCACTTGCAAATTCTCTGTATCTAGGCTCTGTCCCCCCATCTTCTTTCTCCCTGCTTGGTGCTTCTTCCCAGTGAATGGATTTGGCTCAGCATTCTGCTCAGCTCTCTCGTGCCCGCCTTGACTCTTCTGCCTGTAGAAAGTTGGCCCCACCTGCCCACTGCGCCCCATTTCCTACAGTCTTTATGGTATGAAATTAAATTGACCTCCATGTAGACAAAGCCTTGGCTGTAGATTCTTCTTCCATGTTTAGGGCATCTTACTATGTGAAATGTGTTTCAGTTTGCCATTCTCTAGGAAAGACTGTCACTTGAAGAGAAGGAAAACTCTCCCGCCTTTGCCCCTTACTCATATGGCCTTTGGGCTGTGGACTCGCCTTCCTGCTGTCTCTTGCTTTGTTTCCAGGGCTTGTGGATGTGACTGCACTTACTTAAGTGCCAGACACAGGGTTACCATGATAATAAAGAGCACCCAATTCCCTTTTTATCCTCGGTTACTCCTCCTTTCCGTGTATACCTTGTCTGCTTCCGTACATGAAATGCAAGTGGAGGTTTTAGGGAATCTGCTTATGGAGTGAGTTTTGTTATGCTTCTGAAAAAATAGGAGAAGAGTTTGTGTGTTGTATTGAAATGTAAAAGTTGTCCTTATTTTTTGAGAACCTGCTGAAATGATTTTGTTGAACATTTTGGTTCTAGTACTTGCTGGAAAAAAGTACTTCTTGGGGAAATAATTTCAGATACAAATGAGAAGACAAGTTTGGACATAGCCCAGAAAATATGCTATTATTTCATAGAGGAGACTAATGCTATGCTTCAAAAGGTATGTTTGTAGAATATTGAATCATTTTCTTAAAGAAGTGTTTTGAGAAGTCCTTTTTTTGTGCATATTATTAGTCTTAGTACATTTTATAAGAGCACTTTTAGTGCCTCATATAAGTGAATGTTGACATAATCTCTATTTTTGATTGTTAACATTGTACCTACACCTTTAAAACATTTTTTTCTTATTTCTAATTGACAAGTAAAAATTGTATTATTTACGGTGTACAACATGTTTCGATATATGTATACATTGTAGAATGGCTAAATCAAGCTATTTAATATATGCATTACCTCACATCTTTTCTTTATGGTGAGAACACTTAAAGTCTACTCTCTCAGCAATTTTCAAGTGTATGATACATTGTTATTCACTGCAGTCACCATGATGTACACTAGGTCTCCTGAACTTATTCCTCCTGTCTGACTGAAATTTTGTGGCCTTTGACCACCATCTCCCCAACCCCCCAGGCCTCCAGCCTCTGTTAATCACCATTCTCCTCTGTTTCTATGAATTCGGGCTTTTTTACACTCCACATGTAAGTGGGAACATGCAGTATTTGTCTTTCTGTGCCTGGCTTATTTCACACAGCATAGTGTCCTCCAGGTTTATCTGTGTTGTCACAAATGACAGGATTCCTTCTTTTTGAAGACTGGATAGTATTCCACTCTGTCTGCATGCCACATTTTCTTTATTAATTTCGTTGTTGATGGACACGTAGGCTGATTTCATATCTTTGCTTACACTTTTTAATAGGTAAAAATTATTGCATGATTTCTTAGTAATAGATTTCCACGTATTTTTTCCCTTTATGTTTTTATTTAGTAAATGTTTTAATTTAATGAGAAATCAGCTCATTTGTATGAAAACATGACTGGGATTAAAAAAGTAATTTTAGGGCCGGCCCAGTGGCGCGGCGGCGCTCCCGCCGAGGGTTCGGATCCCACATACAGACCGGCCGCTCACTGGCTGAGCAAGGTGCGGGCGCAACACCGAGGGTTGCGATCCCGTTGCCGGTCCCGTGAGGAGAGAGGGAAACCGCGAGGGGGCTGGGAGCAGCCTGGACTCTGTGTGTGGTCTGTCCCCGTAGGGCTGCTGCTTATCTGACTCAGCAGCTGTAAAAGGGCAAGAAGTTGTGCTTTTAAGATGCTCTGATACCATCGGGTTAAGGAGCGAGTTGGCGGTGGGGGCCTTTGAGTGGCAGGTGTGGGGGAGGGCGTGGCAGTCCTGGGCCCCAGCCACGGTCATCCTCAGCTGCCCATCCTTCCCTGGGTGGACAGCCTGGAGTAGGTTTGAGGGGCCTTCCTGGTGGAGGGAATTTCGCCTAAACGTGGGCCTTTCTGACGCCCAGGCAGGGCTTATGTGATTACTACTGTGGGAGGCAGGACTGGGTCCACACACGGTTCTACCGGCTTTCTGGTGGCGTTTTTCCCAGGCAAACCTTTCCCTTGGGGAGCCAGGCCCTGTCCTGCCCAGCTGTGCCTCGGTGGGCGTGTCTGCTGGGCTCGAGTTCAGTGTAGGTCAAGGTGACATTTTGGCTTCTGTCCTTACTCTATTATTTTTTATCCTTCTCAGACCCAGTGTGGGGAGAAGGGTGCACTCCCTCCACAGCTATCATCGTCTGTGGCTTTAGGGGAGCCCCTGGATAAGTGAAAGAGGGGGTCAGGCCCTGGAGGGACACCAGGACTCGCAGAGGTTGGGAGTGTCCGGTGCAAGAGACATCCCCAGTAGACATTGCTGTTGCCCAGAGCCCTGTTTTTTGTCTTGGGGATTCATTCTTCCCCAGCACTCACATTTCTTTCTCATTGTGGAGCTCCACGAAATCAAGTGAATGGGAGCCACTTGCCTCAGAAGGCAGTCAGCATTTAGATATAATGTTTTCATTATATCTTGAACAGCCTCTGTTCATATATATAGTTTGTATTGATTTTATTTTTTAATAACTGGAATGTTTCATGATATGCTATATGGGGAGTTGGCCAGCTCTTTCTGTAGAGGGCCAAGCAGTAAATATTTTAGGCTTTCTGGACCATATGGTCTTTGTCCCAACTATATGGCAAAGCAGCCGTAGGCAATATGTAAATAAATAGCATGTCCATGTTCAAATAATACTTTATTTGCAAAGACAGGTGGCCATAGTTTGCTGACCCCTGTGCTATATCAGAATTTCTTTTTCCTGCCCCCCATTTAGTGGACCTTCAAGACCTGAATATATTTAACTCCTTTACACCTTTCAAAATGGAAGCCCCCCTGAACATTAAAAACTTCACAGATTCCACTTGGTAATTGTGCTTACTTGTCAGTGATTAGAAAAAATTCACGGGGCCGGCCTGTGGCTCACTCGGGAGAGTGCGGTGCTGATAACACCAAGGCCACGGGTTTGGATCCCATATAGGGATGGCCGGTTAGCTCACTGCTGAGCGTGGTGCTGACAACACCAAGTCAAGGGTTAAGATCCCCTTACCGGTCATCTTTTAAAAAAAAAAAAAAAAAATTCACAATGACAAAAAGCAGCTACTCAGAAACATTTACAAATGAAAAATATTTTGTCATCTACAACAGCTCTACATTTATTTGAGGAACAGTAGTATAAGACTTTGTAGACAATGCTTGGTTTATATAGGAAATTACAGACCCCCTGCCAGAAGTCTGTGGCCCCTTGGGGGGCAGTCTGTGGCTTTCGGGGGTAAACCACTGTTTTTAGCGGGCCACACCCTGTCTCCTTGGCGTGCTCTTATGAAATCATTCTGAGGGGCGGCTTCCTTGCGGTGCACTTTAACCAATGCCATTATTTTTTTCCATTATTTTTTCCTTATGGTTTGATTACCACCCCCCACCCCTTGTCCCCCATGCCACCTTTAGTCTTTTCTTGGTTTTCTCTTTGCTGGTGCCTTGGGCATGCGGAGATTCCTCAGGATTCCCACCCCTTGTTGGTATCTGGTTGCTGAGTTTGTGGGTGGTAAACCTCCTACTGCTGACTTGGCCCGAGGGGACAGACACCAAGAGTTAAGGATGAGTTGAAGCATTCCTCTATAATCTTTCTGGCTAAAAATAGAAGAGGCACTCCTCAGACTGCAGGTTTTGAGTGCTTCTGCCTGAAAGTGGAGACTGGCAGTGACCTCTTATGGGGTCTGAGCTGTAATTCTGTGAAAATGGCTTTTTCACTAAGCACCTGGACACTGCCCTTAGAAGGGCCATCGAGGTACAGAAATAGGGAATTTATTTTAGCTCCTTAGTTGGGAAACAGCAACTATGTCCTTTATGATAGATTAATGTAGGACAGTAGGTTTTGTCCCATATTGATTTGTTAGCTGACATTTGAGTATGTCAAGAATGACTCATGTTGGCTCACTTAGAAAAGAACTTTCTTTTACCATCCAGAAAGTCTTGTGTGAACTAAAGGGAGCAAGAACATAAAGAGGGAAGCAGTGGCCTGATGCACTTTCCTACAGCCCTGCACAGTCCCCCCACAGCAATACCACAGTGCCATGTCCCCCCCCATGCCTCTGTACCACATCCACCCAGGCCAGTGTACCATATACCACAATGCCAGCGTCCCCCACACAGCAAGGCCAGCACACCACACACAACAGCACCAGCGTACCACACACGGCAGTGTGAGTGTCGCACACACACAGCAGCCATCGGCTGCCTCCAATGCTGGTCACTCACCTGTCAGAGGACAGTTCTCTGTCGCCATCATTTTATTACAACCTATCCTTCAAGAGTTAATTTTCTTGTTTCATTTCCTTCTATTCCATGTAGTTTTAACATTAGGCTGTGAATAAATTTTTAAAAACTTTTAATAAAAAAGCAGTAGAATTTATTTAATAGAAATGGAAGGTGGTCACTTCACACCCGTGAGGACAGCTGCAGTCACAGCCGTGGATAATGAGCATGTCCAGGACATGGGGAGCTCGGCGCCCCATGCACAGCCGGTGCAGAGGGAGGCCCCGCAGCTGCTGGCAGTGGTTGGTGGTCCCTCCATGGTGAGCCTGGAGTGGCTGGTGGCCGGTGCTTCCCCGCCTAGGTGCATGTCCCTGGGAGCTGAGGACACAGGTCTATATAAAATGTGTTCATGAGCGTTCATAGTGGCACGGTTTATAACAGAAGCCCAGATATCCATTGGCAGGTGACTGGATAAACCAAGTGTGTATCTATGAGATGGAAAGTTATTCAGCCATAGAAAGGAATGAAGTCATGACACATGCTAACTGAAAGAGCCCAGTCACAACGTCCATCGGTGGTTAGGGTGGCAGGGAGGGGGTGCTGCAGGGATGGCAGGTGATACTCAAGGGGACGGGGTTCTTTTCAGGTCGATGATGAGAACGCCCTAAAATTCACTGTGGTGCTGGCTGCACACCTCTGCGAATGTACTAGAACCCGTTGAATTGTGAACCTTACATGGGTGGATTAGATGGTGTGTAGATTACATTTCAATAAAACTTAAAAAAAGTAAGGTTGGTACCTAGCTGGTGAGAATTATATATATCCCTCCTTCAGCTCCCACTTTTCACGGGAAAGTCCAGAGTTGTCAATCTGGTGGTGGTGGGAAAGCCCTGCACTGTGAGGCCCTCTGCCTCACACATTCCATTTATTACCTCATTTAAAGCTTACAATATTTTGTTGAGGTCATATTCCTCTGGTTTTGTAAGTGGGGAAACCAGAGTTCAGAGAGGTCACACAGATGCCCAGTGGCAGAGCTGGGATTCGAACCTGGGCCAACACCCAGATCCCCAGAGCTCAGTTCATATACCAAAGCCAGTGTTCATGACAGGTACATGCAGGCCTAGCTGGCACCTGCCTTCACCTGAGTGGGACGTAAATCAAAGCGTAGTGGGACTGGTCAACTTTGGAGGGCTGAGCCAGTACGGTCCTGCTTTTTAAAGTGCTCTCCCTCCTAGCACAGTCTGGGCCTACTTTTTTTTTATTATTACATAAGTTTATGTTTATATTTTAATGTTTTGTTTTTATTTATTTTTAT